ACAAAAATGTATGCGGTTTTTATTTTCAATTTGTTTATATACAAAAGGTTATTTTTTGTAGATAGTGCTGAAGTATATTGATCACCGTTGCTAATATCTATAAACGCTAGAGCTAAAATTGATTTCAAATAGTACCTAGCATTTCTGAATATTGAGTTGGAATCAATAAGACAAGCTACACGAACACAGCGGATCTTTTGAATAGGGATTATAATCAATCAAATCTAGTTGTCGAAGAGATTACAACGAACTTGATAATTTCCACTGATTTAAAATAACTTGTCCGATTTAGATTTTGTTGTGAGCAGGTGCATTCTTGTGTGAGACGAAAACGGAAATCTTTGGAGATCCATGGCGGACTCCTGCACATACCAATCACATTTTCGGCTGTCTGTGATGTGGCGGGCATAATCTTCCACAAACCCATCATATGGCTGTATTTATTTGACGTTATAATGCATACACCCACCACACGACTGCCTTTATATGATGTAATCTCACATCCACCCATTGCAGGGCTGTCTATATGTGACGTAATCTCACATCCACCCATTGCAAGGCTGTCTTTATGTTGCGTAATCTCATACCCACCCATTGCAGGGCTGACTTTATCTGGCGTAATCTCACACCCACCCATTGCAAGGTTGTCTTTATGTGGCGCAATCTCACACCCACCCATTGCAGGGCTGTCTTTATGTGGCGTAATCTCATACCCACCATTGCAAGGCTGTCTTTATGTGGCGTAATCTCACACCCACCCATTGCAGGGCTGTCTTTATGTGGCGTAATCTCATACCCACCCATTGCAGGGCTGACTTTATCTGGCGTAATCTCACACCCACCCATTGCAGGGCTGTCTTTATGTGGCGTAATCTCACACCCACCCATTGCAGGGCTGTCTTTATGTGGCGTAATCTCACATCCACCCATTGCAAGGCTGTCTATATGTGGCGTAATCTCACACCCACCCATTGCAGGACTGTCTTTATGTGGCGTAATCTCACACCCACCCATTGCAGGGCTGACTTTATCTGGCGCAATCTCACACCCACCCATTGCAGGGCTGTCTTTATGTGGCGTAATCTCATACCCACCCATTGCAAGGCTGTCTATATGTGGCGTAATCTCACATCCACCCATTGCAGGGCTGACTTTATCTGGCGCAATCTCACACCCACCCATTGTAGGGCTGTCTTTATGTGGCGTAATCTCATACCCACCCATTGCAGGGCTGTCTTTATGTGGCGTAATCTCATACCCACCCATTGCAAGGCTGTCTATATGTGGCGCAATCTCACACCCATTCATTGCAGGGCTGTATTTATGTGGCATAATCTCATACCCACCCATTGCAAGGCTGTCTATATGTGGCATAATCTCATACCCACCCATTGCAGGGCTGTATTTATGTGGCGTAATCTCATACCCACCCATTGCAGGGCTGTATTTATGTGGCGTAATCTCATACACACCCATTGCAGGGCTGTATTTATGTGGCATAATCTCATACCCATCCATTGCAGGGCTGTATTTATGTGGCATAATCTCATACCCACCCATTGCAGGGCTGTCTTTATGTGGCGTAATCTCATACCCACCCATTGCAAGGCTGTCTATATGTGGCGCAATCTCACACCCATTCATTGCAGGGCTGTATTTATGTGGCATAATCTCATACCCACCCATTGCAAGGCTGTCTATATGTGGCGTAATCTCATACCCACCCATTGCAGGGCTGTATTTATGTGGCGTAATCTCACATCCACCCATTGCAGGGCTGTCTTTATGTGGCGTAATCTCATACCCACCCATTGCAAGGCTGTCTATATGTGGCGCAATCTCACACCCACCCATTGCAGGGCTGTCTTTATGTGGCGTAATCTCACACCCACCCATTGCAGGGCTGTCTTTATGTGGCGTAATCTCACATCCACCCATTGCAAGGCTGTCTATATGTGGCGTAATCTCACACCCACCCATTGCAGGACTGTCTTTATGTGGCGTAATCTCACATCCACTCATTGCAGGGCTGTATTTATGTGGCGTAATCTCATACCCATCCATTGCAAGGCTGTCTATATGTGGCGCAATCTCACACCCACCCATTGCAGGGCTGTATTTATGTGGCATAATCTCATACCCACCCATTGCAGGGATGTCTTTATGTGGCGTAATCTCATACCCAACCATTGCAAGGCTGTCTTTATGTGGCGTAATCTCATACCCACCCATTGCAAGGCTGTCTATATGTGGCGCAATCCCACACCCATTCATTGCAGGGCTGTATTTATGTGGCATAATCTCATACCCACCCATTGCAAGGCTGTCTATATGTGGCGTAATCTCATACCCACCCATTGCAGGGCTGTATTTATGTGGCGTAATCTCACATCCACCCATTGCAGGGCTGTCTTTATGTGGCGTAATCACATACCCACCCATTGCAAGGCTGTCTATATGTGGCGCAATCTCACACCCACTCATTGCAGGGCTGTATTTATGTGGCGTAATCTCATACCCACCCATTGCAGGGCTGTATTTATGTGGCGTTTTCTGCATTCCATGTCGGTTTATTCGTCACACTACTTATTACAACTTACCGTTTTAATTTCCAATGAATAATGGGTGAGACGAGCGCTGTTATTTAAACAATGCATCCCCCAAACGATGCGTTAGGTGACGCTGAACACATTATCTTCACTCCAAATGCAATATGATTTATTACTGTTGTTATAAATCACTAGCATCAGATTTAAGAATGTTTTTGTTTTGTTGAAATGAGTTTACTTGCAGTTTATATTATTGTGTGATAATGAAATTCATTGACGTCATACATATATTGGCGATTTATAACACACAATAATGGACAGTGTGGAATTCTTAATTTCTATAAAACCCCGATATGTCGCAGTGGCAGCACGAGAAGAATGAAATCGACAATGTAATGGCAATGTAGCGTCCAGGACGTGTGTGTGTCAGTTAATACGTGTTGAACTGTTGAAAAATAATTGTAAACATCACGATTTGCTCATCATAATATTATTTCTTTACATGTATGCTGTCCAGTTTACATTCACATGTCATGTGATAGTTTACTACCTCGAGTTCTATGTACTTAGCCAACCAGTGATCGAAAACGTCATTTAAGCGCAATATGATTGATTTTATGACGTATGTAGTGATCACAAAAAGAACAGTTCTAAACACATCATAGAAATATTGTTAAATATAGGATTATATTTGCACGGCAAGATAAAACGGATTGTGAGAATACGTGTTTTAATTATATTCTATACCAACGTAGCTTTAGATTTAATCTGTATTTTCTGACTCACTTGCCTCGAATAAATACATGGAAATAATTGTGTAGGCATACTTTTAATGAATTGTCAACATTTGAGTGGATTGAACCCAAGGCACTATTAATAATTTGCGGATACCAGGATGTGTCACAATTATCCGGTGTAAAAAATATTGATGGGGCAACAACTGA